GCCAGCTACAAAAAAATGGTTAAGACAAGAATTGTAGAGGACAACAGGGGTCATTTTACCGTGCTAATAATTTTGACCTTCAGATCGATTTTCAAGGTCATTCAAAGACCAAAGTCATTTTTTTTAATTAGAACTCCAATTTTTGACACCGGATTCGAAAAGAGCAGAAAATTTTACGTTAAAAATGATATTTAAATTTTTTTTTCTGAGTCCAAGAAGGTCAAATAAAAAATGATTAAAAACAACTTAGAAGCTGTTAATGTTAATTTTAAAGATTGTTATGCATGATAAGTGTTTTGCGGTACTAACAAATACTAATAGAAGAAAAGTTGCGAAACGTTGTCATTCCATTTCCAAAATTGATGCACAATAATCTCACTTTGACATGATTATTAATAAGGCGTAATAAATAAAATTTTAAAAGTAAAAACAAACACTTGTGCCTTGAAGCAAACGGAGGCAACTTTGAACAGTTACACCGTAGGTAATTATGATAAATTGCAGTTATAGTAAGAGGCAAGGGGACTCACGATAATCAAGCACCCCAAAGGAAACAGAACTTACTACGTCCACGTCGTTGTTTCTGGGTAACGCTAAAAATATTGAATTCAACATCTTCCAAGTTCTTGATTTGACCTTCTTGGACTCAGAAAAAAAAATTTAAATATCATTTTTAACGTAAAATTTTCTGCTCTTTTCGAATCCGATGTCAAAAATAGGGGTTCTAATTAAAAAAAATGACTTTGACCTTCGAATGATCTTAAAAATCGATCTGAAGGTTAAAATTATTAGCACGGTAAAATGACCCCCGTTGTCCTCTATAATTCTTGCCTTAACCATTTTTTTGTAGCTGGCGTATTTTAGGAGCAATTTGGATCCGTCGATTAAAATAGCTCACCCTGTATATATACAATTATTAGTGCAATTTTCCACAATGATAAAAGTATAACTAATGGACATTATACAAGCGTTGTGCGTAATAGGCACACAGAATGGATTTCAATTAATGATTCCATAATAAAAAAAATGCAGTTGGCCACAAAATTCCCAGAA